AACACTATATGATTATGCACACGGTACCATCCATGCTATGCATAATCATAAAATTACTCTTCCATTAAAAAATTTATAAAACATTAAACAATTCAGTAGTCAAATTTATATTGGTGAATTTGGCTTCCTATATATTTACCTTAATTTCTGATTTTGATGTTAAAATTATAGTTGACTTACTTTCTTGGAATGTATTGCTCCTCCATGCATGCATAGCAGAAATGTGTACTAACATAAGTATAGATAATGTGTCTCACTTCTAAATTTGTAAAAGGACCATCAAATTTTATTATTTAAATGAGATTTATTACCAATCTGTTACCCATTTTTTGAGAAAAGACAATGTGTGCATGTTATGCTTCTAAAGATTTTCCACTTCTCCTCAAATTCATACTCACTATAAAGCTTGGGACTCAGTTATCAATGATTTCAATGGATAGCCAACTTCTATGCTGCAAAGTGGAATTTTGTGAAATTATTTTTTAATAACTCCTATGAAAAGTGTTGCAATGAGTTTGCTATCATCCAAAGAAATCAAAATCGATATATATCCTTAAATATAAAATAAAATAAAAATGGAAAATGGAAAATATCAGGAAATCATGATACGAGGTAAGCAACTCTGCCAAGTAAAGAAATACAGCATTAACAAACGCACCTATTCAAATGCTACCGTTTTATCATTTCCTACATACTACAGCCTCAAGAGAACCTACTGAAAAAAAAAAAAAAAAAGGAAGAAAGTCTTCTCTGGGAATCTGGGAATTAATCTTCCAAATGCATTAATTATTAGCAGTAAAGTACAACACTGTAGTGTATTGTGAAAAAAAAAGCTGAAGTAAAAGTTTCCCAGAGGAGCATGATAAATGATTTAGCAAAAGCAATAAAATATGTTACAGGAACATTAGGAGTTGTATTGTCCTGGGACAACACTGGGAATTATCAGCAGATTTATACTAGCAGGAAACATTGACTTTGTAACAATAAGTAGAAAAAAGCAAGTTTTGACTTTATTGTAAACTATATTAGAGTAACGCTTTGAATGTCTTATTGGTGGAACTCATTTGATTTTAAGGGATATTGAGTTTTATCTAGTAAATATATTTTATGTTACTATAAAAACCATAAACAATGTCAGTGTCTTCAGCTGGTGATGGATAAATAATTTTTAGTATATTCGTAACGTGTAAAATCACTCCACAATAAAATGAAATGAAATAATGATAAATAAATTAAAAAATAAATACAAATTAATCTTAAAAGCATTTGCTGATTGAAAGAAGCCCAATAAAAAGATAACATATAGTATAATTCCATTTAAATAATTCTAAATGTAAAAACCAGTTGCATTTGAGTTGATTGTGACTCATGGCAACTCCATGTGTGTCAGAGTAGGATTGTTCTCCACAGTATTTTCTTTTTTTAAAGAATTTATTTATTTTGTTTTTGTGCAGAATATGTCCAGCAAAACATACACCACTTGACTAGATTCACATTCACAATTCAGTGATATTGATTACATTCTTCGAGTTGTACAAGCATTGCCACCCTTCTTTTTGGAGCTGTTCCCGTCGTCCTTTAGCATAAACGTAAATGCACATGTTCTTTCAAGTTGCTATTGACAATTTGATCACTAAAAAGCCCACTGCTCAAGGAAGACATTCTTTCCCATCTTAACACTGTTTTTTGGTTTTAAGAAGACTTTAGGGGACATTTTTGATTTAGGATTTTCTCA